CGGAAACTGGAGAGGGTGCTAATGTGAAGTGAGCTACTATGAAGGTCCTGCCCACTCAGAAGGGCCCCAGAATGGACTCAGAGGAGTCGTTTTATTCTGGAGGGCAGGGTCTCCCGCTCCCCATCCCCTCTTTTTTTTACTCCACCTTGCAGTCTCTGGGATATTTTCTTCCAGTTTCAGGTTCCACATTTCCCTCTCCACTCCACTTGGGTTGATTTGTGCCCTGCCTGCTTACGTGATTTCAGAATACTGAGGACTTCTTTTCTGATTTGTGATTTTTGTTGTTGTTGTTTTCAATAAGCACAACCTTACAGAGGTCTATAAAATGTTATCTAATTTATTTAGACCTTTGCCCAACTGCCTTGAATGGAAGCAATCATTTCCTTACTATTCGGCATGTCCCAGAAATGCTCGGATAGAATGTAAAGATTCCGAGGTGGAATGTGGGCAGACAGATGACACATACAGATGTAACGAAGGTGTCCACACAGCTGGGCATCTAGCCCCTACTGGGGAATAAACGTCATCTGAAAGCTCTGATGCTTCTGTGTCTAGAACGTCAGAAATTTCTGCCTCACACATAATGAACTTTGTATAAATGTTAACTATTCCTATTCTCATAAGCAGTTATGAGGCTGGTTCATGTAAGTGTAGTTCACAAAGTTGCTTGCTGTATCCACTCAAATGGTGGTTGAAAGAGGCAGCCTCGGCTCTCAGTAAATGGTCCCCTATACCTGACATTTCTGGCTGTAACCCCAGCCACCCCAAAGTTTAGGGCCGTGCCCAGACCTCTGCTACCAGGGTGTAACTTCACTCATCTTGCCTCAATTGGGCCCTTTAGTGACTTGATTTAGGGGAATGGACCAGAAGAGCAGAAAGAGGCAGGTTGGCCTCTCTCTCCTACTCCATTCTTGCCTTTCCATGCACGGATCCACAACCAAAGTGCATCCAGTGACCTGGATTGTACTCACTCTGGAGTGAGGAGGACGAGGAACTCACTAGAATGGGCACACCCTGCCTTCTTTGCTCAGCTGGCGCCCAGCACCCAGAGGGTCCAAGATCTCTCTCCTTTGATAGACTACCACACTGCCAGTCCTCACTCAGCATTAGCCATGGGTTTTCCTCTGAATTGGGTTTAGCAGTCCCGTGGCGCAATTTCACAGCTATAGATGGAAAGAGGGAGAGTTGCGTTGGCCATGGTTCTCCAGTTGCCCTATGCATCATCATCACCTGGAGAGCCTATTACCATGACCTAAGCACTCACACAACCATGCTTGCTTTTATGCTCTGCTGACACCATCATGAAATTCCTGAGAATGTTCCAACAAGAGGCAACAGATGTCCAGTTTCCACAGGGCCCCACAAATTATATAGTTGTGCTTGTCCATAGTTCTAGAGTTGTTGTTGTTAAGTTCTGGCCGGGTGGTGGCGTGGGGGAGGGAGATACACAATAATTTACATCTCTAACAAGTGCCCAGGTGATGCAGATATGGCTGCCCCAAGGCCCACTTTGAGAACCACGACTCCTGGTGTGGTGTTGTAGGATCAGCACTGGACTGTGAGCCACAAGGGCAGCAGTTCAAAGCCACCAGCTGCTCCTCAAAAACCCTACACATGGTCACTATGAGTCAGAACTGACTCTACGGCACTTAGCAATAACAACAACAAGATTGTCCAGTGACCTTTGACCATCCCACGCTCATTCTCCAAGCTTAATCAGGGATATGAAGAAGGAGGCAGGGGCGGGGAGTAGAGGAAACCGACCGGAAGCCATGCACAGCTTCAGATCTTTTTGTTTTTGTTATCATTGTGTTGTGTTGTGTTGTGTTTTAAACAGAGTATATGCTCTCATGAAGCATGCTGCCTTTTCAAAACCACGTTTCTCATTAATGTAGTGTGATCTCCCTGTCTGTATAACCAACCCATCTGTACAAAGACATTTTTCAAAGCAGTTTACAAAAATATGCAAAGTAGAAGAGTATCAGAGTAAGTAAGTTGAGAGGCTGGGGAAAAGAAAAAAATAGAGCTATAAGATGAAGTTCAAGTGTGCAACACGACTAGGTATCCTGCAAGGTTCCACACACCCACTTGAGCTGAGCCCTAATGGCCCGGAGCATGGTAGCTGTCACTGCAAAGAGAGATGCTTCATTAATTTCATGATTCACAGTTCCATAGGTTAAAAATAGCTCCTCGCTCAGTGGTCATCCAGAAGTTCCCAGAACTGAGATTTACAAGAACTCTCTTCCACGGGGCATCTCTCTTTATGCACATAACTCCTGGTAGAATCTTCAACGTCTGACGTTTTGTGCAAAGTGTTCTTTCTCATATGTTTTGCAAGACAGATGAGCAAGACTCGGGACAGAGTTATTGGGTGCCCTTTGAGCTAAAATGACCTTCCAAGAATTTTACTCCAACTAGAGGGGCCAAGGACCATTTGTAACCTTGATGGTTGTTTTGTTCTGACTATGAGTTGACTCTCTTCCAGACATCCCACAAAGTAAGATTTTCTGCACCCACTGTTAGTGATGTACAACCAATGGCTTCTTCTTGCTGAGTAGACATAGATTGTTTTGTTAATTACAGGCAGTCCCAAAGATTACTCTGATCCCAAGTCTGTCTGTAAATCAAACTTGTATGTAAATGGGACCTGTTGGGAATGGTTCATATCTAAGATCAGTTAATCAAATGTTTATCTTAGTAGATGGTGTTTTGGTGGGCATCCCAAAGTAGCGTCCTTTTATTACTAATCATTGCATATACCTCAAATGTTTGCTACAATAGGATTTGTAGGCCCGTAACCATAGGTTGCACGTAAGTTGGATGTTTATAACCCAGGACTACCTGTATTGGAAATGTGTCAGTTTACCAAGGAAAAGAAATGAAATTCATTTAGCAATATAACTCCTAGCCCTGGTTAGAAAATAAAGTCCTTATTGTGAGCTCAGCGCCACAATAGTTAGCAATCCCATAGACTTGATTTCCCTCATGTTCATAGTTAACGTTTCCTCAAACTGAACCATACTTCATGACAATAGACAATATGTGTGGGATGATGTTGTCATAGTCTCACACCTAGAATTAGTGACGGTTTGTCCCCTTAATTAGATGTGGCAATTAAAGACTTCCAACCCCCCACTTTCCTGCAGAAATGTTTTCTTTTTGTTATTGTTTTGGGGTTGTTGTTTTTTCTTCAAATTCAGCAGAGACCTAAAAGTTTTGGAAAATAATTCCCACGGTTGTCCTCTGGCTTTTTCCCATAAGATTATCTTACATCAGTTCAAAGATGAGGCAAGGAAAGAGCTTATTCACTCCATGTGGGTAGGAAGTGTCCTCCAGAGGAAAATCCCTGAGCCTCTGATGTCTCAGTGACAGGCAAGGCATATCACAGATGCTCAGATGGTTTTCCTTGGACTCGAACCCCTGCAAGAAACCGCAGATGAAGCTGAATTCTCCTGTGAGTGCACCAAACCATTTGGCTAAGCCAGGATGGTCCAGGCATGGATTTGCCTTCCTTTAAAAAATCATTTTATTGTGCTTTAAATGAAAGTTTGCATAGTACGTTAATTTTCCCATCCGTTCATGCACAGATTGGCACATGACATTGCTTGCAATCCCCGCAGTGTGTCCAGACTCTTCCTGTTTCCTCCCTGGGTTCCCTGTTTCCATTCCTTCAGTTCCCTGCCCCTCCTGTCTTCTCATCTTTGGTTTGGACCAGATGTTGCCTGTCTGGTCTCATCCAGTTGCTTGCTCAAAGGCACACATTCTTCATGGATGGTGGCATTTGTTTTAGAATGCTGACTATTATTTGGCTGAAAGGTGGTCTCCGGGAGTGGCTTCAGTTCCACCTTAGAAGGTTGTCTCAGGGCAGTGGTCTGGGGCGGGTTTGCGTTCTTTAAGAATGTAAAAGATTGGTCCTAAAAAAATCAAACCAACAGAAAGAAAAGACCAATAAAAAGCAACCAAGTAAGGGGAAAAGCGAGGCAGGTTCTGGATGTTTTAATCAACCTGTGATCATTTCCCTTTAAGATGTCAGGGCCACTGGTTTTGAGGAAGGTAGAACAGAAAGATGTTTCAAGGTAAGAAAGACTTCATATCCATGCTCCCGACGCCCTCGTTTTCCTGTCCCGCTTACATTTTCACTGTGATTTCTGTTGCTGTGACAACTCACATGCATTAAAAAATGTAATCGATATACCAATTAGGATGTCTTATCATTCTAAAAGCAAAAGCAGTGGTGCTCTGTGGAATCCTGTGAGGTGCATTTAAATATAAAATGGTTTCTGTTGTGGTGTGCCATCAAGTCAATTTCAACTAATAGCAACCTCCTGTGACAGAGATGAACTGCCCCATGGGGTTTTCTTGGCTGTCATTTATACAGAAGGATATCACCAGGACTTTCTTCCACGGTGCTGCTGGGTGGGTTCAAATGTCCAGTTTTTCAGCCAGCAGCTGAGCGCCTAACCATTTTGCCACCAGGGCTCCTTCGGTTGCTCTTTTGGACCAGCAATTCCCGCAGTAGAGGCGGGGAGTCATCCAAAGAGTCATAATGGACTTGAAGAAAGGTTTCTATTGTAGTTTTTATATGAATTATTTTAAATTTAGTGTATAGAGGAACATAAAGATGTATCTCCCAGCTTTTCCTTGCTCTGAGCACTATCAGATGTTAATTTGGAAATGGACCCAGGAGCTAACCCATGCGTTATTTTAGAGACCCACATTGGATATGTCAAGGTTCCATCTGTTTCATCCTTCTCAGCTTTCCCTTCCCCTGGCTGCTGTTTCCCATAACATCTGTGGTGTTTTACTGCCATCTGCTGGCCATCATGTGGAAATGCTTTTACTTTTATGTAGAAGTCTTAAACTATTCTATAAAAGTCTTTTGGTTTCAGCTCCTGTGTCCATGCGTTCTCCTCCTGATGTATGTGTAATGGTTACATTATTTGAAACAGACCATTAATTGTTAGCACACTCATGCATTTGACATTGTCTCCTTGCACCAGAAGCCCTGATATGCTGCAGTCGGAAGTTTCTTTTGCCATGGGAGGGAGGCACTCATCCACAGACTCCAACAAGGCCTCCAGTGGAGACATCTCCCCTTATGACAACAACTCCCCAGTGCTGTCTGAGCGTTCCCTGCTGGCTATGCAAGAGGACACGGCGCCAGGGGGTTCAGAGAAGCTTTACAAAGTGCCAGAGCAGTACATGCTAGTGGGGCACTTGTCGTCGAAGTCGAGAGAAAATTCTCCAGGACCGAGACTTGGGCAAGGTAACTGGAGCATTGCACTGGCCAAGTCCAAGGATTCGTTTCCTTTTTGTATGTGGGATGGTGTGGGATGCTTTGGTCCTTCCGCCCTTCCTTTTTATTTCTCTGTAATTCAATGTGCATTTATTGAATACTTGCTAAGCATCTACTCCAGAGATTTGGGGAACCCACATCTTTATTCTCAGCTATCTGGAAAGCTGACCAAGCACAGGGTCAATAAGGGTGGCAAACAGTTAATTCATTGGGCTTCTAACCAAAAGATTGGCAGCTTGAGCCCACCCAGAGATGTCTTAGAAGAAAGACGTGTAGTTCCCGGGGAAGGGGCTTGTGACACCATTCTCGCTGCTCAGGGTGCACGCTGCCACTTCGACTGGTTACAAAGCAGACATATTGAACACTAGTTTTCTTTTTCACTGTTATTCATCTGTTCTTCTGTCTCTGCTGCTACCCACCTTCATTGGATGAGTTTTCTGTGGCTATTGTAACAAATTACCACAAACTCAAGAGACTGAAAATCACATAATGTATCCATTTAGCGTTCTGGAGGTGAGAAGTCTAAAATGTGCCTACAAGCTCCTCCTGGATGCTCTAGAGGAGAACCTATGTGTTTGCCTTTACCAGCTTCCAGAGGCAGCCTGCATTTCTTGGCTCATAGCTCCTTCCTCTATGTTCAAAGCCATCAATGAAGAGTCTGGTCCTTGTCTTATCACAGAAATTTGATACTAACTCTTCTGCGTCCTTCGTCCACTTTTAAGGAACCTTAGGGTGACATTCGGCCCACCTGGATCTTTCACGATAATGTCTGATGCCACAATCCTTAATTTGATCACTTCTGCAAAATTCCTTTTGATTATATAATGGATTCCAAAGTTCTGGGAATTAAGATGTAGACATCTTTGGGGACCATGACTGCCTCTAGCAGCCACGATACGTGTGAAATCAACCCCCTGAAAGGCAGATCTAAATTACATCGTGGTGTGTATCCAACCCAAGTCAGCAGTGGTTTGCAGAGATGGGATGTTGCACAAATCTTGGTTTATTGATTTTTGTCCTTGAACTCTTAATTATGTGTTATACTTTTTCCTAGATATGTCAGAGGAAGCTTTCAATATCTGGGGAACTTGGCATTCAACATTAAAAAGTGGATCCAAAGACCCAGGAATGACAGGTGAAGTATCATTTTTTGCAAGACTGATTGCATTGTTTTTGTTTTTGTTTTTGTTTTTTAAATTAAGTTTGAATGCTTGTCTTGCCAGCAGCGTGAACATGTTTTCCAAATAATATTTGGACCGCACTGAAAATCAGGGGGACAAGATGAAAATATCCTGAGGCTTCCCACCCTAGTACTTTCAGCCTCCGCCTGTACTCATCCCATTTCCTTGTAAAGTGGGCAGAGTCACACAGACACACATATGAGGGGCAAAGATGATTGGCGGAACCATCGAAAAGCTCTGAACGCCCAGGGCTACCTAGAGTCTATGCCCCCATTTGGAAACCTAGCTAGAATCATTGTGCCAGTGCAGCTTGGTTTTATCTGACCTTCTTTCCTATCATCATTTGTAATGGGGACATAGTATTTCACCATTGCAGATTCCAGTTGACAAGCCAATGGTTTGGTAATTCTTTCACTCTTGGTTGTTGCGATGAATTATGCGCTCAGGAACCTGTTTTATCCAAGTATTGTTTGTTTGACTTAGTTTTATTTTCTGTATTTCAAATTACTGACACCTTCACCAAATTTTGAAAAGCAAATCAAAAGTTAGAAACTCAGAATAGGAGAAAATACCAAAAACCAAATCTGTTGCTTTCGAGTCAAGTTCTGATTCATGGCGACCCTATAGGATACAGGAGAACTGCCCCATGAAGCGTCCAAGGTTGTATAATGTTTACAGGGAGTCCTGGTAGATACAGTGTTGGAGGGCCTCAAGGTTGGTTTGAACCGTGAGATCAGGCAGGGTTTAAACCCACCAGCCGCTACTCGGAAACGCTATACAGGGTCGCTACGAGTCGGAGGCGACTCAATGGCACGTAACAACAACAATCTTTATAGAAGCTGACTGCCACAGCTTTCAGCCATGGAGCGGCTGGTGAGTTTGAACTGCTGACCTTTCAGTTAGCAGCCGAGGGCTTTTAACCACGGCATCACCAGGGCGCCTTCAGAATAGGTGGTGGTGGTTATGTGCCGTGGAGTCAGTTCCCACTCATAATGACCCTGTACAGGGATCCCAAGGCTGTAAATCTTTATGAGAGCAGAAAGTCTCATCTTTCTCCCGCGGAACGGCTGGTAGTTTTGAACTGAGAACCTTGAGGTTAGCAGCCCGATTTGTAACCATTAGGCTACCAGAGAATAGGAGAGTGGGTCTAAAAGCCTGAACCCGCTCAAGAATTGAAAGGTATAGTCACAGCTTTCGTCTTTGTCTGTGCTAGTGCAGCCACGACAAAGATATCACCAGTGGGTGGCACCAGCTGAAGGGAAAGGTCCTTCCTTGCCTGTAGCCCCCGGCTTGTAGGAGACTCTTGGCTTGTAGGAGGTTCTTCATGAGGCCTTTTCCTCCTGTGTGTGCTTTTGTGTCTGTTCCACTCTTCTTATGACAGTCACTACTCAGAACGGATTAAGGAGCTCTGGTAGCGTAGTGGTTACGAATCGGGCTGAGAACCGCCAGGTAAGCAGTTCGAAACTACCAACTGTTCCGTGGGAGAAAGATGAGGCTTTCTGCTCCTGTAAAGATTTACAGCCTCGGAAACCCTGTACAGGGTCACTATGAGTCAGAACCGACTCCACAGCACACAACAACAACAACAACTCAGAATGGATTAGGTCTGGGACCCACTGTACTCCAGTAGGAAGGAGCTCATTAACATACCAAGAAACCCCAGACCCTTCAACAAAGAACATTCAGGTAGACGACAAATACGTGAGGAAATGTGTGCAGTCATTAGCCATGGTTGGTGTTAAGTGCCATAGAGTCAGCTTCCACTTATAGCTATGGGTAGGCCTCAGAAGAAAGGCGTGGAAATCTACTTCTGAAAAATCAGCCATTGAAATCCCCACTGAGCACACTTGTACTCTGACACACGTGGGATCACCATGAGCTGGAGTAGAGCCAATGGCAGCTGGTTTCATTTCATTTTGTTTTGCTCTTTAGAGACAGCTAACAATGCATGTGCTGTCTCCATTTTTGTTTGTTTGTTTGTTTGTTTGTTTGTTTGTTTTAAGTGCTGTCGAGTCAGTTCCAACTCTTAGCAACCCTGTATAGAGTTTCCAAGGAGCAGCTGGTGGATTTGAACTGTTGACCTTCTGGTTCGCAGTCCAGTGCTGATCCTACAATGCCACAAGAATTTGACAAATTAATTCTATTTCCTGTCCCTCTCTCTGGCTTGCAGGTTCCTACGGAGACATTTTTGAAAGTAGCTCCCTCCGACCCGGGCTGTGTTCACTTTCTCAAGGGAACCTGTCCCTGAATTGGTCTCGCTGGCAGGGCAGCCCCACGGAGCTGGACAGTGGCGCACAGCTCATGCGGAGGACTCAGACCACGGCCACCATCGCCGAGTGCCGGGCCCACCCTCCGGTGTCGCGCGTCTGCAGCACGCCCCATCCCCAGGGCAGCAGCAGGCGGTCGGAGCCGGCCCTGGCCCGGTCCGAGCAGTCCTTGACTCTGAGCAGCGCAGAAGACCTGAGCGAGAGTGAGCTGGATGCGGCGGGGCTGCAGATGCGAGCCAAACCTCTGTACCAGAGATCACGAGAGGGTGGGAGGCACGACCAGAGGCCTCCCCCTCCTTATCCTGGTCCTGGGAAGCAGGCCTCTGCATCCTCCCAACAGCCTCCAGAGCCCGTGTTGTGGAGGCAGCAGAAGTCAGAGGAAGGCTCCGGAGCCCCCTTAGAAGAGGGCAGCCAAACATCCGAGCGCGAGCATCAGGCCGCACAACAAAAACTGAGTAGTGGCTACTCCGCTCCGGCCAGCGATCAGAACAGTAAGAAACTGGGTGAACCCAACTGGCTCGACTGGCAGAGAGACCGGTGGCAAATCTGGGAGCTTTTATCGACAGACAACCCCGACGCCCTCCCCGAAACGCTGGTATGAACCCACGCCCACGCTTGAGCCCCCACCGTCCTCCTTCCATTCACTAGGGAGGGACCATGGATGGTGGTCAATTGGACACTTGCTTATCTTCCTGTACGCATTTAAAAAGCCACATGAGAGAAGCCCCGTTCACTTAAACATGTAGAGCCCTCATCCCCCTGGACAATCACAATCGGGTCCTATTGCATAGCCAGCCTTCGGAAAAACCCCAAACTCAGACAAATGCCAATAACCACTCCCTAAAACGACCCACCTTGACTCTGTGTAAGATAAAACTCTTGCTTTGGTATTGCTTAATTGTATTTGTGTCTTCTGTAACAGATTATGTATGATAATCGTATATATTCACTGAGAACAAAACAGAAGGAACAATTTTTAATCACTTCACTTATATTAAGCAATGAGATATACTAAGCAAAGAGATTCTATAGAATGTTCTAGAATGCGCATAAGTGGGTTTCTGTGCTTTTGCCATGGCCTTTTAACAGGGGACAGCTCTTCAATGCCTAAGAAAAACACGTGTTGTTTTTTTAAAAAAACAGAATGCGAGAAAGCCATATTTTTATATAGTAGTGAGATACGAAAAATATAGTCACTGAGTACTTTGTCTTATTGAATGTTTTAAGGAATATATTAAATTTGATACATTATGAAATATATTTTTGGAATCTGTTTAGAAAGGATTCAGTTAATCAAGCAAGAGAAAGGCCGTGCCTAACAAAGAAAGAATAATTAACAAGTTGTCCTCCCCCTTCTAGGTCAAGTTCAATTTTATGTAGACCATATATAATATATATTTATAATGTCTAATTTTATGTATTTTTTCAAAACTACAAACTGGAATCCAACTCTAAGGTGTTCAAGAATATAAATGGAGTATTCAAATTATAGAAGAACTAGTTTTTCCCTTTACCCCATAATCAATGAAATTATATGAAATGATTTGTAAAGTATATCATCATTGGAAAAAAGAAAGAGAGAGATATAGCTTTGTACTTACATTGTGCCAAAGGCTGAGGGAATGCTTTCTTCAGTTAATTTATGTCATATTGGGAAAATGTTCCTGTCGGACTTCGTAATACATTTGGAAATGTTTCAACTGCAAAATCATTGTACGACCAGCAGGTGGTGATTTGCTTCAGTATTTTATGAGACTTTTCACTTCATAAGGGAAAGTGTATTATAAAAAAAAAGTGGTGTTTTTTTTATATATATATAAAACTTGCTATTCTTAATTTTCATGTTGGTGATGCCATTTTCAGTGGTGTTTCTAAAAGTTCTATCTTGTGCCATAATGAATAAAAAGTTAAGTGAAGGCTCTGTTCCCTGGCATTCAATTGAATGACATAGAATTCACTAGCCACAAAGTATCCAAGTATAAGAAATGATGATAATATTATATGTATGCAAGGAAACAGTTAGTAAAAAGTATTACCACATGGCTTAGGGCCATCCATCCAAGGACATGGAGGCATTTAGAAGCTCACAGTAATTACCTGTTGTAAGTTAAGATGAGGAAGCAATTTGTTACCGGACCAGGTGTTGCCCAACACAATCTCTTATAGAGGCGTGATTTGTTACATGGCTGTGATGATAAAACAGAAAAGTGCTTTCTTATGTTTCTTGTGGTGGGGCAGGGTAGGCGGGGAATGGTGAGGGTCCTTCAAGCTCTGCCATAGAGGTTCAAATGTCATGGGGTCCACCTGAGAAAGATCTGCCTTCAGGTCTCTAGTCCTGGCTGCCCACCCTCACCTGAAACTATAAACAAGATTCAGAGCTTGATTGTGTATTGCAGGTCACTGTGTGTGCCACCTGCTTCTGCTGACCATGCACACACTTGCTTTTGACATGGCCTGGGGTGGCGCTGTGGGCTAATGCATCAGACTGCAAAGTCGTTTGAACTGCAAGATTGGTGGTTCAAGCTCACCAGCTGCTCCTTGGAAACCCTATACAGGGATCACTATGGATGGGAATCCACTCAACGGCACTTAACAACATCATCTGCCAGTTCCCTTGCCTCTTCCTGGACTAGCCAGCTTAGCCTATGAGACCCCTCCCTGCCGTGTTCTTACTGTAATGCATAACGGTCCTTTCGGAAAACAAGCCAGATCACATGGCCCCGAGGTCCATGTCTGTGTCACCAAAGGTAGTGAGAGGTATCTCTATGGATTAATTGTCCAGAAAATGGAGGGCTCACAATATTTTTTAAATAAGTTCATTTGGCTGTGTTTGTGTTTATAAATAAAAATAAGATGAAAACAGGTATCTCAAGCAGATATAATTTACAATTGTCTAAGTGTATAAATACACACACACACACATGTTGTTAAGTGCTGTCGAGTTGGTTCCGACTCACAGTGATCCTATATTGGGTTTCCAAGGAGCGGCTGGTGAGCTTGAACTGTCGACCTTGCGGTTCAAGCTGACCTTGCAGTCCTGCGCATTAACCTGCAGTACCACACCAGAACTCCATATAAATAAATATATTACCAGTTGATTCTAACTCATGTGTGTCAGAGTAGAACTGTGCTCCTGAGGGTTTTCAATGGCTAATTTTTGGTAAGTAGATTGCCAAGCCTTTCTTCTGAGTTGCCTCTGGGTGGATTCGAACCTCTGACCTTTGAGATAGCAGCCAAGTGCTTTATTTACACCACCCAGGGGACTTTGGGAGCTCTGGTAACGTAGTGGTTACGAATCGGGCTGTGAACCACAAGGTCAGCAGTTGGAAACTACCAGCTGTTTCCACGGGAGAAAGATGAGGCTTTCTGCTCCCGTAAAGATTTACAGCCTCGGAAATCCTGTACAGGCTCACTATGAGTCGGGACCAACTTCACAGCACGCAGCAGCAGGGGACTTTAGAAAGTTTGTGGATAAATTTCATCACCTATTTTTTTAACTTGTTATTGTGAATTGAATGGTGGTTTACCAAATAGATCATCAGCCTCACATTCAACAAATCATACACCCTGTGTCATTACAAAGATTGCATGCAGTTCCTTCTGTGTGCCATCAGTTAACAGTATTTACCTCTATTCAAAAAATTCATTATTTTTTTATTTGGCATTTCCATGAGTTTTTTGAAGCCCCCTTGTATACATAAAGTATAAAATGAAAAATCAAAACCTATTGCCATCAAGTGGCTGGTGGCTGTGTGCCGTGGAGTCGGTTCCAACTCGTAGCGACCCTGTACAGGGTTTCCGAGGCTGTAAATCTTTACGGGAACAGAATGCCTCATCTTTCTCCCGTGGAACAGCTGGTAGTTTCGAACTGCTGACCTTGTGGTTCGCAGCCCGATTCATAACCACTACGCTTCATAGCAACCCTCCATTGGTTTGAGAACTGCCTGGTAGGGTTTCTGAGGCTGTAAACCTTCACGGGAGCAGACGGCCTCATCTTTTTCCCACAGAGTAGATGATGGGTTTGAACTGCCATCCTTGCATGTAGCAGCTCAACACTTAACCCTCTATGCCACCAGGGAATATCATGTATTGCTGTTGTGGTTAAGTGCCGTCGAGTGGGTTCCGATTCATAGCAACCCTGTAAAGGGTTTCCAAGGAGCAGCTGATGGGTCTGAACCACCGACCTTGTGGTTCAAAGCAATCTTGTGGTCCAGTCTTTATCCCACAGCACCACAGCACGTGTAGTAATATGTATTACTGTTCACCTGCCTTTTCTCTTGGTATGGCTTAAACACAATGGCAGTACTAGCCTTAGCTTCATGAGTTGAAAATTTACCGTTGTGAGACCCAAGTGCCTGAGTGGAAACTGAAGTAATTTCTAGAACCTTGTAAATGAGATACTATATGACAAGAAAAAAAAAAAAGTTAGACACTCTCTAGGGGGACAAAACCTCTTTGCCAGGCTGTTGGATTGTCTAGATCTTGGGGAGCAAAGAGATCACGACAAAGGAGCAAGGAGAAAGCTTCATGTGGCCCAGATGTCCAGAAATCAACGAATACTTGATATTATGTTTGCATCTTTGGAGAGGGGCTGAACAGGTGATGGCAGAAATAGCCAAATATCAATTTTTCTTGATCCATCTAAAAGCTATTAACATCTGTTTGTTGTGTGTTTGTAGGGGAGGGGGGAGGGGACTCTTGAACCAGTGGAGTTTGTGCAAATTGAGGAAATGTCTGGATCAGCCCTGCTTGCTTGTTTTTGTATGCACATTTAAATTCACATCTGCTTGGCTGAGAACCAGAGTTGGGCGCACATCTGAGGAGGTGTCAGAACAAAGCGCAGGCCTGTGGTGGGGCGGGGGGCACTCTGATAAGTGAACTGCAGGAGTTGAGGGAAGCTGAACAGAGAAGAAAGGAAATGACCAATAAGAAGAGTCACGCAGAGTTTAAAACCAGACAACATCTCAGCCAGTCAGAATGTAAAAAAGTGAAATCAGCCACAAATGTTCTTCAAGACAAAATAAAGGGTGGAAATCTTCCACATAGTCGAAGAGACGGCTGGAGCCTCAGCCATGTCTCACTGTAGACATGGGTGTCTGGGGTATAGACCCTGACCTGGCCAGGACCCCAATTCACCACAGGCCCAAAGCACCATCTCCCAACTGAAGGTCCCAGGAGGCTGGCTCAACCTAGGATGATTGACTTGTCTTGATTCACACAATAGGTACCCAAGTTTAAAATGACAGGCCCAACTCTTGGGGAAACATCTCAGTCTCAGGCGAACCCGGATGGTTGGGCACCCCTGCTGGGCACAAGCCATACCCTTATCTGCCAGGAGGGGCTACAGAGCCCTCCATCCTGTGACCACCTCCTCCCTCTTGAGCCTACAGGGCACAGTCCATACGCTGCATACTAATATTGAAATAGTCCACAGTCAGTGGACACAAGGTGGCCCAAATGGAAAACCCCATTCCCATGTGTGTGATACAGGCTCACATTTGTTCCCAGGGCCTCGAATGCTGTTCCCTGCTTTTCCTATTCAAATTAACACTATTGCCTTTGTAAAATTATTTCGAATCTTCTTCTTCCACCGACACAATG